TAGTATAGTAACTAAAACCTAGTATCAGTTATGCCTCTACTAAGCGATTTGACATGGATTTCCACAATCTCTCTGAAGTTTTAATCCTCTGATCTATATAACTGAGATTTTAGCAGTACTTACTTCAGAGAGCTGTAAGGATTTAAATTTTAAAATATGTATAAAATACATTGCATAATACCTGGCACATAGTAGATCCTCAGTGTATAGTAGCTGCAAATTATTATTAATGTAACTATCTGTTATTTATATTAGTCATTTCTCCTTTGATTACTCTTGTTATAATCTTTTTACAGAAAACCCATATAGACAACTGCCCTGTAACTGTCACGGAAGTATGCCTGGAAAGACAGCAATAGAACTTGGACCTCTCTGGTATGTGCCTAAGCATAACAACATACGCAAAATTGATTTATGTATTGATCGCTGACTTTTGACTATGCGGTAGAAGACAAGCAAATTTAGATTCAATTTTCAAGTCTGGGCAAATAAGTATGACTGCTCTCCCCCTGTGAACCTGAGGTGTTTTTTATTTTCAAATTTTTCTCTACCATTATTGTCCCTTGTTTGTGACAACGCTAAAGAGGCGGTGGGGTGAAAGCGGTCTGGACGGTCTGCAAACTAGATCATTCATTTCCAAGTAGTAAGACGGAGGCTTTTTTCATTTGATCCTCGTAGAACTAGGATGTGATTATAAAATGGTTGCAATAACTTTTTATAGACGAGCCAACTAATATAAAAGGGCTTAGAGGAATTAATTTTTAAGTCAGAAGGGCATGTAAAAGTATCTGCCTTTGTTTTAGTTAAAGTTGTTTAGGTGGGACACACTGCAGATATTTAATGTATGTGTGCTTCTGTATCATTGGTAACAAATGACTGTGTTTTTAATGCCTTAAAGGTAAATTGTTTTTAATCAAAATCCTTACCTTAAGCTTGTTACTGGAAATTTTTGTAGAAATTCAAGATTCCTAACAGCACTATGACAAGAATCATTACAAATTTCTTCCACGCTACTTTACAAGATCAAGGCTTAGCCATCTACTAAACCTAGAAATTGGCCCAAATGATAATTACGTTTGTGCTGATGCCCATTATTTTATCTTCCTCCTATGGAAATGCTCTTAGGTTAAGAATGACCTAGTCAGCCTTACCTTCTAGCTCTCTTACCTGTATTATCTGCTACAACATTGATCCTACTCACAGATGTCAGAACTAGGGAAATTAAGAATAACAGGTTGCTGGATCTGGAAGGAAGATTTTCTAGCCCAACATACCAGTGATATGGAAATACTGGTTTTCATTCTTCTTTACCTCTTCAATTATTGCTGCTGGCAACTTGAAATGATTGCCCTGGCCCCTCAGAGAGGACATTTGCTGATGGTGACCTAGATCTGAGAAATCCTAGCAAAGGTTGCTAGGGAAAAGATAGGGTTTTTTTGGTTGTTTGTTTTTTGTTTTTTTTTTTTTACATATAATGGGAGCATATGTAATCTGTAAGAGATTTACAGATGAGGAAATTATAGCATATTGTTTTTAAGTGATAGCTAAAACTGACCAAAAAAATTAGTTATTAGCACAGTCAGGGCC